TTATTATTATTTTTATTATTTTTATTATTATTATTATTATTATTATTATTATTATTATTATTATTATTATTATTAATATTATTGTTATAATAATTATTATTATTATTACATTTATGAAAAACCGATTAGAGAATATAATATCATGGAGTAATGGATAAAGCCCGAAGCAAGACAATTAGCAGCAGCGATCTATTTTCCATGCAGGTTTGATCGTTTCTAAGAAACACCATCAGAAATGATTTTCAAAAGTGTAATAGATTATATCAACGGAGTGATATACATACTTTTAGAGCACATCGAAAGTACAAGGAGAAAAAAAAGAAATAAGAAAAACTTAAAGAGATTCGGCGTTACGAAGAAACGTATCTTAAATGTTTTTTAACTTAACTGCTGATACTTTGTCTAGTAAAAATTGATTGGAAAATAACTGAGCAAGTACTATCCGGATTAAAAGTACAAATGCATATTAAACGTGTCAGTAGTATGTATTCTGTCAAGATTCAGATTAGAAGTTTATAATTTTCAATAGCCAGTTACCTCGTGTATCTTTCTTCATACCAGTCATAAGAGGTAAATAAGGATATAATTAAAGATAGTAATGGAATAACAGTATTGCAGATTGGTGGTTAGCTCATAGATACTTGTCCATTAGCCAGTAATCTCTCAACAGCAGCATTTATATCTCCAAAAGTAGCAATCAATGCTATAAGAACAAATTCGTTAGATATCAATGTAAGAAAAATACATATTATTAATTAACATTTATTAACGAGTTATTTTTTATCGTCAATTGAACATTGAATACCTTGTAAATTAGCATCTCTGTTCACAAAACCCATAGCTGTCAGTTGTTCTAATTGTGCTCTGTAACGTTCTTCTGGTGGTGGTGTAGGTTGTCCCTCAGCTTCTACTCCTTGATTTAGTGCCATTGCCGATACCTAATATATTAGAATAAACGATAAACTATAAGTATGTACATAGAATGGGTTATTAAAAAGATATATACTTACCATGCGAGCCATAAATTGAGAGAATGCATCCTGTTGATTTGAATCTGTTGTTCGTCCTGTCGTAGGGGTTGAGCTTGTGGTAGCTGGAGTTCCTGTAGTTGTTGGTGCACTAGGTACAGTTAGTCCAAAACTAGAAAATTATACGAATAGTTAAATTTTTATAAAATCATCGAAAATCGTACAAAACCTATATAAATATATATATAATATTTGTCCCCCAAAAAAATATAAATAAACGTATATTTAATAACTTACTTTTCAACGAGTTCGGGTGCAACGGTTCTTAATTGTTCCATACCCTGCTGAATTTGCATAATAGCAGCCAAAGCATCTGGATTAGAGACAACATTTTGCATTTGTGGATTTTGCATTTGTTGTATAAAAGCAGGCATCATAGCGCGCATTTGTTCTTGCATTTGTGGATTCGACCTAAGGAATGGATTTGCCGCTATCACTCTATTGGCCATAGCTGGATCAGCTGCCATAGCTTCCAATACGGATCTTGTATATGGGGCATTTAACATATTTCTCATTAATTGAGGATTCTCAATCATTTGTGCTATAAGACTTTGCATTCCAGGCGAATCTAAAAGACCTCTACCCTGACCTTGCTGTTGACCTGGAGTAGAAGATTCATTCTGATTTTGACTCCAAGGATTGGGTAATGGGTCTCTATTTTCTTGGCCTTGCTGTGGATTAGTTTGTCCATCTTGATTGTTGCTATTTTCTACCAATGCTGCGAAAGGATTACGCTCATTTGCTGCAGCGGCGAGCATGGGTTCTTGAATATCTCTGTACATGCGACGCAAAGCACTATATCCACCAGGAATACTCTCAAGATTAGATAGAGCACGATCATGTGAGCGCATCAACTCTTGTAACATAGATGGATTGCGAGCTAACTCCATTGTTTGTCTATACAAATATATTCCGTGTGTTAGTCTATTGTTTGTATCTTTAACACATAACTTATAGAATACCATATCTACCGTATCCAATACACATACCTTAAAAGTTCTGGATTATTCAGCATATGACTAATTTCTGGATTACTTTGCATAAGTTCCTGCATTTGGGGATTAGTTGTAACCAAATTGCGCATATTCTCTGGATCATTCATAAAACTCTGCACCAAAGGATTATCAAGAACTTGACGCATAGTTTCCGGATTGGACAACAATTCGCGTTGCAAACGTTGCTGTAAATCTATAAAATTAGCGGAACCTAATCCAAGGGACTCTAACCCCATGAGTCCACCTAAGCTACCAAGACCGAAAGGACTGGCACTTATATCAGCTGTAACTTGAAATAGAAAATAGTAAGTGTTTCATCATATTGTTTAATATGATAAAATAGCATGACACAGAGTCATGTTAAAAATGTAACAAACTTGAATTTTTCCTTCTACCAACTATAAATTCAATTATTTTTTATCAAATGCAACAAAAATAATCAGCAATAAGAATTTGTAAATGAATTCCTTGTTAATATAAATAATATAAACCTTGTGGTCTCTGAGAGGGCACAGAATCTTGAGTTTGATTGGTCGGAGTGCGAGGTGCTTTGATAACCAAATGTACGGTAAGACCATCCTTGACATTATGTGTAGCAAGTGTTTCATGATCTTTCATAATCTTCCCCGAGAATATCAAACACAATTGTTCAACCTGGGCGTTAAACTTCTTCGAGACCGCTACTTTAAACTGTTTGATTAGAGGAAAAAGTAATTAATTAAAACTAACCCGCGGACGAATGTGACAGCTGAAGTTTCATCGAACGATCTAAGGTTGCACAAGTACGAATAGCACAACCATTTCTGTTCTGACACTTACATCTTTAATCGTTGCATCTTCCTCTATTTGAACGCTCTGTTTTTCTTTCGGCGTTTTAACGTTAATAGTAATCTTCTTCCGATTCTCTTGCCCTTCTGCCATCTTGATTTGCTAGATGACTCGTTACTTTCGTGCGCAATTGAGAATTTCCGAGGGGATAGAATTGAAAGCGTCGAAACTTTTCCACAACCGAGGACTTCTCTTCCACGCCACCTCAAATCGCACCTTTGATTTTTTCACAATTTTCGAACAAACTACTCCGAAATTTTTCCTAACAAGTTATTCCAAAGAACTAGAAAGTCTACATAGAAGGGCAAACTTGATCTACTATTTTACCCAGAGGTAATACACGCGCGTGAAACGAGGAAACTACAATATACGCACACGTCCCAACAAAAATATTTTAAGAATATTAATTTAATATATAATATATATTTTTCATATCTAACGATATATCATTCGATCTTATCGATTTATCCTGTCTCGATATTAAGTATATTTGAGTTTTTTTTCCCACGAATATTTCTATACTTTTAAATTTTTTAACGATCGAATCGTTAACGACTACCTTTTATATCGAAAAAATACTCGATTCTGCAAACTTATAGGTTATGTTACGTTGCCACTATTACAACGTAAAAGTACTACTTTTATCAATCCACGCGTATGCTTGAAAAAATTGAATATAAGGTGGGGTCCCTCCTCTCTTGCCTTTGCTTATTCATACGTAAACGTGGATGTAAAATAAATAATGAACAAAAATTGTTACACTTTCAATATGCAGAAGCAATAACAGAAACGATTGGAGGTACTATTATTGATAGATAACTATGTTTATATATATATATTTATATAAAACTATTCATTTTGCAACATCATCATAGGTAACAATATAATCAATTTGAATTGATACATTTTAGTTGTTACCAATTGGATATTTTTGTCCGATTTTGCTTTTCTATTACCACGTGGAACTTTCTTAGTGGTATTTTATTTTGTATATAGTATACGTGTATAATAATAATTCGTGCACCTAAATGAAATCATCAATGATGTTGCATATAAAGCATTTTTTTATAATTTTGGATGATTCATAGTTTAAAAATATTTCTTTCCCTGGTCAAAGTAATTTATAATTTTAATATCATCCATAGAGACATTTTGTTACTCCCAACATTAAGGATTAAAAATTGAACGGATGCGATAAATAAAATGTAATATATAGTCTTGTTGATATTCAAAAAAACATTTACTTTAAAAATACAATCTTCAACTCAGAAAAAAAAAAGAGAAAGAGAGAATAAAACAATGTGAACGGTTAGAAAGAAAAGGTTCTTTTGTATTTAGAATTGTTTTTCGTGGAATAAGATTATCATTTCCACTTATTTAATTGTAGAAGAATCAATGTTTTCGTTTCACGGGTTTCCAACCCCTCTTTTCTCATCGTATTCGCCCGAGCAGAACTTGGGCAGCTCTCTTTTAGACGGACGTATCGTTTGTTATCTCTTCGATTCAAGATAGCAACAGATAATAGACATTGCACGAGCATTGATTACGCTCAACCATGACTTTTGCTAGATGCTTTCCACTTTGTATGAAATGATTCTATATGCTCGATATTAACACCTAATTGGGAAAACAATGTTAATAATAATACGTAATAAATGTATAAATATCACAGAAAATCTAAATTACCTGCACTCTTTGCCAATCCATCGGGACTAAAAGTAAAATTTCTTTTTTCATCTGGACTAAAACCTGTAAGAAGTGTTACAACCGGAGCTTCTGTGTCATTTGTTAATCCAACTTTGGTTTGTTGAGTAAGATAATGGCAGCATTCTATAATTTGAAAAAATAACCAGGCTTCTTTATCCTTCGGTCTTGGGCCTTTAATCAAAGGAAGTGCTTGTCGTTCGTTTGGTCTTTGTGCTCGTAAAAACCTTGATCCTTTTCTCAGCTGTGTTTCTAACCAGCGGGTTGCCTCTCTGGCACGACCACTTGTTCGTTTGACTTCATCCAAAGCAGAGACCACTATAAATTCAGATTTTTTGTTTAAATATATAGATTATCGTAATGTTCAATAATATTTTAGAAAATATATTGTGCATTTGATTAAAAAATATATCAAACTGTTTTTACCAACGGTAGGAATGACCACAATAAATTTCTTTGCGTATACCAAACGTTTAAGAGCTGGAGTATGTTTAGCTAAAGCTTCGTGATCAGGTACCAAATAAGGTGACATCAATCTCGATCGTAAACGAGTCTCCAAAGCTCTGACTTCAGCTTTTAACCAAAGTCGTCCCATGTGTCTCATTAATTTTCCTCTTGAATGATTAGCTTCTAAGTCTTTGTTCTCTAAATTATCACCTTTTATTGCACTAGAAACATTTGGACTGGCTGTTATAAACAATTTGTTATCGTGGTCATATTTAATCCCAGAATCTTTAATAGAACTAAGATAATGCCCAAATTCGATCATTTTTAACGCCCTTAGCAGTAACTCCATTTGTTTGTTCATATTACACTTGTGTAATATCTTCCAATCTAAACTTTTTTGAGCATCCTCCAATATGTTAACGCCCCTCAAATCTAAATCTTCCGGGAGTGGCACGAGTTTAACAAGATTTTGCAAATCCTCATTACTTGAAATAAAAATAATCTTTTTATCCCATTCTCTCAAGATAACTTCGGTATTAAAATTTAATAAATTTAATAATATCGTTATTCGTTTAAGTAAAATTTTTGAACTTCGTGCACATTGTCTTATGATATCGTGGTTACTTCTTAACCAATCGCAACAAATTTTTATCGACGAAAGTATTCCTTGGCACTCTAAAATTTTTAAACTGTCATTTGGCTTCAAATCACGCTTTTTCAATTGTGCCACATATATTAAAGTATTTGTAGATTCACTGCTTTCGTCCAATGTGCTGCTGGAATCAATATTTGTTGTTATGGTTGTAGTACTTTTGGAATTTTCTAGCGATTCTTTATCATTCATCGCGTTTACATTTGTTTGCTCATCATTTTTAAAACTTTCACCATTTTGCAAGTGGATATCTTTTCCATTTTGTAAAGATATAACTTCTTTGTGATTTGTTGTATTGTTATCGATATTATTGTTACCATTTAACTGTTCGTTTGATTTAATATTAACAGTTTCTACTAGTTTTGCTTCTTTAGAAATACCTTCTTCATCAGATATGTCTTCAGATAAAGCATCATCGGACAATATATTTTCTTCACTGAGGACATCATCTTCTGTTTCAGAAATATCAGAGTTTCCTTCATCGCTGGACGATCCTACATTCATATGATTTATATCACTTTCCTCGGAATCTGAACTATTTCTTCTCTTTCGTCGTCGAAGTTTTGTAAGTAAACTTTTCGTTTTGTCCGATGTCTTTTTTGTACTTTGATAAATATTTCCATTACATTCAGACTTTTCCTTCATGTTATTACAATTTTTATCGATATTATTTAGATTATTAAGTTCTTTACTTTTACATAGAACATTTCCAATCTGTTCTTTCTTTGCTTCTTTTTCGTATTCTCCAGTTACTTTTGTATCATTAATCATTTCGTTCTTATTACTATCTTCCGTTGAGCAGGGCTTATTATTTACTACTTCAGTTAAAACCAATGGCACGTCTATCAATGACTTTTGTATTCGTGTTATTGCAAATTGTACTAATTGTGATAATATTGCCAATATTATAGCAATGACTCCATGTACTTCGCTGGATTCTTTACTTTTTAATTTAGAAATTGACATTAGGCAGATGGCAACTATTTTAAACATTATCTCATCCGTTAAATAAGATGCATTTTCATTCCTGCACGATTGAAGATAATTTTCAATGTTGTCCTCATTTTTAATATCTTTCGGATTATTTGAATCAATTTGTTCCATGCTTAAACATACTTCAATGTCATTTAAAAGATCCTAAAAAAAAATAAGATCCTATTAATAGATAGCATTTTATCTAAAACATTATACAGATTATGAATAAATAAATTCCATTGAAAATCTACCTGGCCTTCTTGATTTACACGATCAGAATTTGGAATTTCACAATCCCATAATTGTAACAGAGATAGTAATCTTGATATACAATGTTGTACCGAACATTTGTCATCGGAACAAGTTGAATGAGTAATAATGATTCTCTTCAAATTTCCTTCTGCTCCTTCAAAAGGCTCAGAACATAGAACACTGTAAAGTACTATTTATGAGACTTATCAGGCATTTATAGCTACCTTAAGTAAAATAATATCATATGAATTATACTTACCATCTCATATAATGATATACCCCATCGAGTCCATAATTTTTATTGCCTGCTACTGTACCAAGTTGATTGTGTGCTATTCCAATATTTGGATCAATGCATATTGCCATTTTGTAATATCTGTTTGCTATCATAGGATCCCAGTTAGGATCTATTTCCAATTGGTATCTAGTCAAATCGCCGAGACATATAAGACTTCTGTGGACAAGTCTCATAATGCATTGTTTTACTTCTTCCGTATGAACTTTAGATTGGTTGCTTTTATTTTTTGTCTATAATATGTATATAAAAGAAAAAAAGAAAATTAATATTTAGTTTCTCATATTTTTAGGCTGTAAAGCATATCACAAGTCCAGCGCATTGTTATAGCGCAAGGAATTAATGATTTATCATTAAAATAAAAGGCTTACAGGTAATGTTCCAGTTTCATTGTGATTGAATGCAAAATCAATGACACCAACTAAGTCTAAACCATATTCCTGTTGTAATCTTAGTATCAAGTGATGATAAAATCCTGTGCCAACTGCCAAATGAATCAATAGTAAAGCTTTCTCTGCATCCGTCCAGGCATTGTTCTACGATAAAACATATAATTCATTGTTTTGATTATCTATATTTAACATATTAAGCACCAAGCATCGGCATAGAGACTGGCATAACGTGTAACACGTTAAAAGAAAATTGTAAGACTTTGATTACCTTTCGTAATTTTTTGGCTGCATATACGATATCATAGAATCCCTTTCTCCACAATAATTCTTCAGTTTTACGTCCATGACCAACAGGATCTTTAAAAATTAATCTTTCGCAATAATCTTTTAATTTGACTCGTAGTACTTCGCTGGAAGGTAGAAATATATCTACTACTGTTAATGCTCGACTTCTTTGATCATCCAACCTCTTAATAACGTCTGTTATATTTCTGTAATAGATATATCTTCTGGTAAATACAAGTTATATAAATCTGATTTCATTGCATCTAAAACCAAAGCGATAAGCATGATACGGAGAAAATAGCACAATATAGTTTTATTTAAAGGAATAATGATCGTGAAATAATATTCATTATTGCATAAATATGAGAATAATAAGAATAAATCATTTTATTTCAGATTAAACGCGTGAGAGGTAAAATAAAAATATAACATTAAACGACCACAGTGAAACAGCATGGCAATTAAAATTGAGATGTGTTTGATAGGTTAGAAAAAACACTTCGATGATAACTAAGATATTATCTCGAAAAAAAAATATAGAAAAAGTAATTTTTTCAATAAAAAAAATAAAAAATAATAATTGCATTTTACTTGTACAAACGGCGTGTAAAGTCGACGCAATCAGATGTTCGAGAATCCGCAGTGGTATTATTGAATGCCTTCCTCATCGTGATCGAATCATATTTTACTTTCCGAATGATTCGTCATTATTCATTTTCCTGCGGTCTCATGACCCGCGTACCTCCAAATGACGATAAGAAAATTCGACATTCGCCCGTTCTTTTAGCTTGGAAAAGCTTCTTCCTAAAATCACCAAACTACCCAACAGCCAATTTCTCCTAGCACCCCGCGTTTTCCAAATAAAAATTCTGATGAAGGGATATTTAGAGATCGTACAGTTTTCTAACTGAAAAACTTCCTACCGACGCTAGCGAATAAGCTGAATTTCTGATTTATACACTAGTAGAATCCTATGCCACGTGCTGGCGCTAATATCAATAGTATTTTCAATACATTTCAATATCTACATTACTTATTTGTTTTTATATTTGCTTATCTCGTACTTGTATTGCCAGAGGTGGGGATTTTTTCATATTAGCGGCGATTTTCAATTCTTAAAATTTGAAGGCGGAGAAATGCTGGGGATTTTATAATAAAGTTAAAAAATAAATGTGGGAAGGTTTAGTAGAGAAGTGACTCGATCATTAAAAAGAGAAGAAACAATCTAAAAATGGTACATAGTTTATGTATTTCGAAAAATTGATATTATTTAATATCTGGTTATTTACGAATATTTTACCATTTTATTGTTTTTGTATTTCAATTGAATTGAAGAGTGCATTTGATTGGACGACTTAACTCGTAGGTATTTCCGCTTAAGGCGCTGCCACAGAATAGATATGTTTAATGCATCCCTCATGCGAAACTCTCGACAAGTCTTAAATTGACATCCTGTGGTCTACGTACGGTTCATTTTGATCTCTCAAATTTCTACGACTTTGTTTTTTTCTTCTTCTTCAACAAAGTATATAACAAGGTAATTGAAATAAAATATCCACTTATTATTTCGAATCGGATAAACAATTTATCTGTAACGTTATCGCTATATTTAACTTACGAACAAATGAATTATTTCTTCGAAACTTTTCTTTATCATTCTTCTTCCTTATTTATATTCTACGTACTCCGATTATATTTATCTTACAATTTTCTTTCGGTTTTGAGATATCATGTACAATCGATTAGGCCGCCAACGTGCCTTATAACGAGGACAAGCGTGAGAAGAACTTTGAGGGAAATTTTTGAAGTACTATTTTATTCTTTTAACTTTAAACGAGAACCTTTTCCCTAGAAACAAATATCCGGCATTATTTCGGATGTTACTATCCGTAGAGGTCATGACCTTGATTATTTTTACAGACGATCGAATAAAAAGTATGCCGATCTATGCTTACTGGCTAATTTGATTAATAAAACGTCTTAGAATGTATTTAATCAACAAAGGAGTGGTTATATGGTGAAATTATGTGTATATATATATCTTTTTGTCAACCTTGATGTGTCCTTTTCGTCGTTTATTGCGGTCTACGATTGAATCTTATTTGTTTCAACTTAATGCAAACAATATTAGAAATATAGCAATAAACTATTAATACGATAAAGTATTTGATTTTTGATTCGTTAAAGAATATAATAAAGAATTGAGGTCGTTTAAGATAATTTAGATTAATTTCAAGTTTATTAGTAATAATGATAAACAGAATGAGCGAATTTAATTGATATAAATCTATATTAATAGATAATTATTATTGTTAGAAACATCTTCGTTAAGATTTTATCAAGTTGTAAGCTAAAAATCAAGGTTACGTCGAGTCTAGCGATGTGACGTTTAAAGATATTATGTAATATTTCGAGCTGCAGCTTCCCAAACGAGTTCAATTATTTCTCTTTGGTCTAACGATTCGTATATTATTTTTTCCACCCTTTTAAATCCTGATGGCCACTTTATATCTAATTCTTTTATTCTAAAAGTGAACTTCAATTCCGATCGAAAATTAATTGCGATAAAAAATCAATGCGATCAATGACACGAATTGTTCACGCAATGGTTTCGTGTTTTTATCCTTTTCATTTTCTTCGGTCATTAACGTATATTAACGATCGATCAATGTCTCGACGAAGATCTCGCACGTTGTACGTGTTCGTACTGTTCGTTTATTTGCGAGAGAATATAATTATGTAAGTTAGAACTTATTATTACTAGTATTATTCATTTATTTTATTTATTTAATTATTTTTTGAAGAGGATTTCTTTCGCAAAATGGCGAAAACCATTTAGATCTTTTAGGTTGTTTATCTCGTTAAATTAGCATGCTTTTTTTTTTTAAATCATTGAAACTTGATAATAAAAAATTAATCATTAGTTACGTTCTGCAATTTGATTTTTATTAAGACTACGGTTATCGTTTAATGACCTGCGTAGTAGACATGTGATTGCATAAAGAGCGCGCTTTCTTTTCAATTGATTAACCTTGGAATATATTAGATATATATCGTTATAACATAATCGTCATGGTACTTGTGTACTCAGTAAATTTTTATCTCATTTTTCTTTTCGATAAAAAAATGGGTCACATGAGTAATCATCATACGATGCGAAATCAAAAGACAAAAATTAATCAGTATTAGAAACACACATAAGAAATTATTTATAGAAAATATTACAAACAAAATGAACTATTAACATAACTCAGGAAACCATTAATTTTGTCTAAATCAGGATTTCTTAAAGTCTCTTACGTTTTCCCAAAGACCATGTTAGATTGCAGAAATTTGAGCAAAAGTAACAAATTTTTGGACACGCGCAATGACCGAAAATTAATTTAAAATTTAGCAACACACTTCTTATTCATAAGAATGAAAAATTGATAATCGAATTTGATCAATAAAATTAATTATTTTTCTGTACAATCAAATTCCCTTTTCGTTTTCTCGATTTTAAATAGTACTCTACCTTTACATTGAAGTTCGCGTATTAGTGATTTTCGTTGGTAGCAACGTTAGATTTTATTTTGAGAACGAATAACTAGGAGAAGAGGAAGAAGAAGAAGAAGAGGAAAAGGAAGAGGAAGAGGACTACGTCGTTTGTAACTTCAAGTAACACAGACTCTCTTTTTGTCTCACTTTGTCTAGTCACAGCTAGAGCATTTGGTATTCTACTTATATATATATATACATAAATACATATATGTATTCTACAGAAATTGAATTCAATACGTAACAAGTAATGTCGTCTTTTAAAATGTCTACTTCATTTTTTTCTCCCACTTTTCGGTCATTGTTGTCATTGTTATCGTCATCATCGTCGATGACCACACGACGAGTTTTCTATTTTCAAACGACTATCACATCTTTCTCTTTCACGGTCGACTTTTCGTCATTATTATTATCATCATCGTCATCATTCTTGTACGAGCCTATTGTCGCTAGTTTAAAATTAGTCATTAAAAGGCGATGGTTAGTAAGACGAGTTACAACACGAGTTACAACACGATTTTCACGATTTCCGATAAAATCGATCAGTAGTTTGCAGCGTTGTTATTGTGAAAATCCATTCGCTATACTAATTCCAATTTTACCTTTATTTGCGCAGCCTGCTAGAATGGTCTGGGTTACCGTCGATGATAAGGTACTGATCTGGATATTTACAAATCATCATATTACGTATTGTTTATCGATCAATAATTGATTGGATTGACATTTTGGATTTTTTTATTCTTCTTATTTTGTTTTCTCCTTTTGCTGCCTCTTTTGAATTTTCTTCTTCATTTTTTATCTTATTTTTTATCTTATATTTTTTGTTAATTTTCGTTACGGCATGCTTTGAAAAATGAGTATTCGTCGTTCGATACAAATTTGCTCGTTTGTATATACGTAGTAAAAGGCCTTTGTTATGCACGACCCTTATTTGGGTTGCTAGTAACGCCTGTTTTCTTGTCACGTTTCTGTCCTCTTTTTTTCTTTTTTTTTTTTTAGTAGTTTCGCTTCCTCCTCCCCCCCTTTTTCTTGTAAAAGTTTTATTTAGTTACATTATTTATGTCAAATTATGCATAATACTAATTTAATTTACCAAGATTTTCATTTTAAAAGCGTGGACAGTAAATAAATAATCTTCGGTTATGTTTCCTTAATGTAAGAATGATAATGAAAGAGATTTTTATTATTCCAAGAGAGAGAGAGAGGAAGAGAGAGAGAGAGTAAAAGAAAAAGGAAAGCAGAGAATTTCTTTTTTGATAAACTTTTAACATATAGTTCACGTTATCTAAATTGGACTATTATCTATAGGAAATACGAAATAGTTTTTTTTACGATAGAGTTAGATCGATTTCTTTCTCATTTATTTTAATATTATATATTATTAATTATGGATAATTATTTTGGATTTTTTGTTCCAAAAAAAAACGACGATCAAATTGTTAGCAATTGATATCTTTAAAGGAAGAGTTAAATTACGTAAATTATGTTGTTTTCATTTGAATTTCTATGTTACTTAAAAATTTAACAATAATAGATTACCGTTTGAAATGTTTTTCTTGTTTAATTATTTTTATATATTTCGTTTCTTAAGCGATCTATGTGTTATATAAGCTTTCAATTATTATAGCTTATACGATGTATATATTACTTATACATATGTTTTTGTGAATACATTTAGTTCGTTTTAAAATTTCTATTTTTTTCTTTTCTCCGTTTCTATGTGTATTTATATTTCCGAGAATGCATGCTATTGGTATACTTTATTAGTGCATGTGAATTTCATTAGTAGTAATTAGATAATAGAACGTTTTTCTTTTCAAACTAGTTGTTACGTTTGCGTTCTGTTAAAGAAATATTTTTTTCAATTAAAAAATGTATTATTTCTTTTTTTTTCTATTTTTTCGATTTTTATATTTCTTTATTAATATTATTTTAATAATTATTATTTCGTTTCTTCATTTTTTTTATTTCAACGAAGAACATCGTCGACAGTTATTACATGCTGTTCCAAATGTAAAAAAAAAATGCTTTTAACATTCATTGTCAGTGTAGTCTACTCAATGAATAGAAATGTATACATTATAGAACATTTAATAATTATTGAAACTATTTTTCAGATGGCTGGAAAGCAGAACGATAAAGCACTCTATGCTCAAAGTCAACTGGATCATTTGTGCGCTCTTGACATAGACAGTCATGCGTCTTCCGTTCGACTATCTGGTATTATCTGCACAATTGGACCTGCCTCAAGGTCTGTTGAAACTTTGGAGAAGATGATTGAGACTGGCATGAATATCGCTAGAATGAACTTTTCTCATGGATCTCACGAGTATCATGCTGAGACCATTAAAAATGTCAGAGAAGCACAGAAAAATTTGTCAGCACGCGTTGGCATCAATGTACCTGTGGCCATTGCCCTTGACACCAAGGGACCAGAAATTCGTACCGGACTTCTGGAAGGTGTAAGTTTTACATTCAGTTTGTTTATCTATAAACAACATATCTTCAATATTATTTATAGTAGCTATAAATTAACTAGATATCGTTAATTCCTTTCTTCTTAATACTTTTACAATTCATTTATCGATGATAGTGCGATTGCATTTATGATTTATTGGTAAAGAATTGATAATAAACATCGATGTTAATAAAGATATGATGTTCTTAACAGGGTGGTTCTGCTGAAGTGGAATTAAAGAAAGGACAAACTTTTAAATTGTCTACCGACAAAGTTTATATGGAGAAAGGTAATGCTGATACAGTTTTCGTCGATTATGAGAATATTTCGAAAGTATTGAAGGTCGGTAATCGTGTATTCGTTGACGATGGTTTGATATCTCTTATCGTTTCTGCTGTCGGTGAGTAATAATTGTTCTTTGGATAAATCTTAGCATTATTCATATTTGTAAAACGTTTACATTTTTTTCTACAACTACAGGTCCAAACGCAATAACTACAACTGTTGAGAATGGTGGTATGTTAGGTTCTCGAAAGGGTGTTAATCTACCAGGTGTCCCAGTAGATTTGCCAGCAGTTTCTGAAAAAGATAAATCAGATCTTGTGTTCGGTGTTGAGCAAGAAGTAGATATGATATTTGCGTCATTCATCCGAAATGCTGCTGCCCTTACCGAAATCCGTGGGATCTTGGGTGAAAAGGGTAAAAATATCAAAATCATTTCTAAGATAGAGAATCATCAAGGTATGACAAACCTTGACGAGATTATCGAAGCATCGGACGGTATCATGGTTGCTCGTGGTGATCTTGGTATTGAAATTCCACCGGAAAAAGTGTTCCTAGCGCAAAAGTGTATGATCAGCCGATGTAACAAGGTTGGTAAACCTGTGATCTGTGCAACTCAGATGTTGGAATCTATGGTAAAGAAGCCACGTGCTACCAGAGCTGAAACTACAGATGTAGCTAATGCCATTCTTGATGGAGCGGATTGCGTTATGCTGTCAGGTATAGAAATTGGCCTTCAAAGAGAGGTCAAATATTATTACAAACGAAGAAATATTGTTTTATTAATTATAATATTAATCATTTAGGTGAAACTGCTAAAGGAGATTATCCTTTGGAATGTGTACGCACAATGGCCAATATTTGCAAAGAGGCTGAAGGAATTTTCTGGCAAACTCAGATCTTCCGTGATCTATCGAGCAAAGTATTGCCACCGATTGATGCTACTCATGCAGTTGCTGTGGCTGCTGTTGAAGCATCTATCAAATGCTTGGCCAGTGCTATTATTGTAATTACTACTTCTGGTCGCTCAGCACATCTTATTGCCAAATACAGACCACGGTGTCCGATTATTGCAGTAACTAGATTCCACCAAGTAGCCAGACAAGCACATCTTTATCGTGGCATTTTGCCTCTTTATTACGAAGGTTCGCTTGTTTCTCTCATGTTTTTAATTCACAATTAATTGAGTCGTCCGAAAATTTGCCAAATCGATTAATTTCACATGTTTTTGTAATATTTATTTTTCTTTTTTCTTTTTTTTTTTTTTACAGATGCACCACTCGGCGATTGGTTAAAAGATGTCGATGTACGAGTACAACATGGATTGAAATTTGGCAAAAGTCGTGGTTTCATACAAACTGGAAATTCAGTTGTTGTTATCACTGGTTGGCGACAGGGCTCTGGCTTTACAAATACTCTTCGTATAGTGTACGTTAATCCAGATTATGAACAACATTGTTCCAGTTCTTATAGCATTGCTAGTTCCGAAGATGATTATCTTTATCTTTAATATAATTATATGCATGCTTATTCATATTAAAATTTGGCTACCACCATGTCTTTATTTTATTGCATTTGTTTATAATTAGATTACTCAAAGAAGATACATATGTCGCATTTACATGATTAACTCATTTTGCAGTCTTTTTATGATTAACTATTAATACATCGTTTGTGCTTCAGTGTATGTGCATGTTGTGCATTATGTCAAATTTATAGAAATATCCAACTATAGTTATATTATTTTTTCTACTTTTTATTATCATAATGAATTATAATTAATTTCGTGACTCCATTTATGTTTTTATTTTATTGCTAATAATATTGTTCTTTTATTTTTTGCAATAACAATTAATTTCTGTTTTAGAAACGTGGACTGAGCTGAAACTTCCGTAATGGGTCTCGTTCATGATTAATTACTTTGCACAACAATTACTATTGCGCAAAATGATCGATCATAAATGAGTCTTGTAAGCCTTCAAACATAGCACTCATTTACAATAAACAATAATAATAATAATAATAATAATAATAATAATAATAATAATAAAAGGATTAAATATTTGAACACAAACTTCATATCGAAGGGAGGACATTCTACTTGTTAACAATTGATAGTGTGCGATTTTATGCATAATATCGCCTCTAATAAATAAATCGTAGTAAAATCGTTGTAGAACAACGATACTATTTTATTAGTACATAGACCCAGTATTATTGTAATGCTGTTGAAGTATCCACATCTGTCGTATAAAGAGATATAAATATAAATATATATATACATATATATATTTCGTTTCATCCTATCAAATTTTATCCTCTCACAAATGAAATATTATTAATGAAAGAAAAAAAAAAAAGAAAAAACATTCCTGATATAATAAAATGTCGAACAATTATCAAATACCATGGGTGCGTGCGTATTAATCCAATTATTGATTGCAGTATTAAAAAAAGAAAAATTTCGTTTATATTTTAATGAACATTAATATTTATTTATTTCATTTTGCTACCGTAGAAAATGCCATTCGATGATGAGGTGTCGCACGAAAATCAATTAAATGCAGCTTACGAAAAAAATCGATTAAATCATTGCATGCAATTAAATGTTGATTCGAGCCCAAGATCTGTTAAACTTACAGGTGTAATGGTTACAATGGGTAGGTCCTATAATTAATCATCCTAATTATTATAATCAATGTATTATTATAATTAGACTAATATCAATTCAACGAAGCTTTTATCAACGTTATTGATCCATACAATTAGGAATCCTATTTTTATTGATATTGTTTCTCTGTAAAAAAATATTACAAAAATTAGGTGTTACAAATTCCTATCCATCGGCAATTGCGGAAATCAGTAAAGCCGGAGCAAATATAGTTCGTTTGAACTTTTCTCATCAAACAGACAAATGGCATGTTATTACAATAAGATCCATCAGAGAGGCTGGAAATATTTTATACAATTGCGAGCGCAGAATTTGTCCCATTGCTGTGGCGGTCAATCTCAGTGGTCCTGAGATACGTACCGGAATTTTTCGTGGTGATCCATTATCCATGGTATAATAATATTTAAAAATGCTAACTTTGTATGAAATCTTTCGTTATCAACGACCCGTTTAAGGGTTCCTAATAGTCCATTCAATGGTTCATATGTACGAACAACCCCTATACAGGGGGTTGTTCATACGACGATACTCGCACTTTCGTGCAGGATCATGCTGTATTGGTAGAAGGTAACGCTGTACGTTTATTGACGGATGATAGAATCCAACGAGCGGGAACTTCTTCCTGCTTTTGGGTCTCGTGTCAAGAATTAAAAAGGGTTTGTCAGATAGGAGACAGAATTTCAATCGATCGTGGCACCGTATTATTAAAAGTAACTTGTATCGGTTAGTTTAAAGTAAAATATGGACCGTTTATTTTGAAAGTGGTGCGATGTTTCTATTAATTAATCGATATTTAATTTAATTATATACATTTTTTTGTAAGCTAGTTTAGTTAAAATACATTGCCAAAAACGGCTCGGTATTTCCCACTTTCCCTATAATATATACATAAGAAATGAATTCGTTACAAGTAACGTATGTAAAATAATAATTACAATTCTAAATTGAGTTATAACACGAATAATTTTTAATGCAGGTAGTACCGGAGTTACCTGTAAAGTTTTAAAAGGTGGCATTATCGGAAATGAAAAGACAATTCAACTTTTAGACAGTATTATTTCTTTTCCAATGGTTTCGGAAAAAGATAAGGAAGATATTAAACTCGCATCGAATCTCAAATGCGATTTTATTATTATCAATCATTCGCGTAGCGGTAAAATGATTTGTTTGATAAAAAATGAAATAAAGAAAACAGGTTTGTAACTGATTTCAGTCATTTATTTGGATATTTGTAACGATTGTACGACTGACAGACAGTAGTTGGATGCGAGTTATGGCGAAAATCTGTTCGAGGCAAGGTTTACAAAATTTCGATGAAATATTAAAAGAAGCCGATGGTATAATATTCGAAAGGATTGGTGTGGCTCTTGATATAGGAAAAGAGAAATTATTTCTCGCGCAAAAGTCTGTAATAGCTAAATGTAACAAGGTTAATAATTATAATCATTATTACTAAAGTCATATGAGCCGTCTATTTTGAAAGTGGCATAAATCCATTGAAGTTCGAATTAAGATATTGAACGTTTTGCGTTGGATTGAATTTAAAAATATAGATGTAGAATAATGTTTTCGGGTTTCTAAGGGTATTAAATTTATCATCCCAATTAGCATAATTAACATTATTTAGGAAATAATATGTTTTTGATGGCTATGATTGGGCTTACGTCACTTTCAAAATAAACGGCGCATATGTATCTTTGGAAGAAGAAAGTTTTTGACAGTTTTTGTTTATTTATTGTAGGTCGGAAAACCTGTCGTTGTAATTTTCCATCCTAAATTGAAGGAAAGACCAAAAATTAATAAAGAATTAATAGCTAATGCGGTCTTAGACGGAGCGGATACAATTTGCTTGGCTACAGGAAATTTAAACTTGAAGGATACATTGGAGTTAATTAAAGATGCTCATGTCGTATGCAGAGAAGCGGAAAGTGCACGATGGCAAAGAGAAATTTTCGATACTTTTAGTAATATGGCAAGTTAAATATTACCTAATATTCATATAGATTCAATATTTAATATAGTTAATAATTTCGCAGGTATGTGAATATGTTAATAAACACAATTATTCATTTTGCAAGGTTTCGTTTATTTAATTGAACTTCTTTAAGCAAACTTAATATTAAAGTATTTTTTGTTAATAATCTTGCATTATATTATAAAAAAGGATTGATAAACAAGTAATAAATTAGTAAATTATTCGTTTAATTTTAGCGTGACAATTTAATTGCGCATTCATTCTCTTTCATTGTCGTTATACTTTACGTGTTATATATATTTGTTTTAATAGTATAAAACGTAAAATAACAAAAGTGAAAGAATGAATGCGAAATTTAATCATCACGTTAAAATTTAATAAATAATTTACTAATTTATCACTCATTTATATGTGAAGTCGATATGTAATGTAAATGTGCAAGATTATTGTCTAAAAAACACATTAATATTAAATTTGCCTGACGAAGTTCAAATAAATGAACGAAATTAATTGCAGAATTAATAATTGTGTTTATCGACATATCCCACATACTTGTGAAATTATTAACAATATTATAATAATTGAATTTAACGTTATTTAATAAAATGGATTAATTGTATTGTTATTTTTGATTGATAACGAAGACAATGATACCATTGGACATAGCACATTCGATTGCTATTGGCGCCATTCAGACGTCCTTGAAATGTAATGCAGCTGCCATCATCATCACGACTACAACTGGACGAAGTGCCGTGTTGCTTTCGATATATCGACCAAGATGTCCTATCATCGCTGTAACACGTTTTGGTTTCGTTGCACGATTTTTACAAATTTATTTTGCCATACATTCGGTTCATTACAAGGGTGAGTAATTTAACATTACGTATAATTTTCTATTTTACAATCGATCCCCCCTGTTGTTTAACAAAAATAACTGATTTAACGATTTAATTTATAAACGAGGAGGGCAAGAAAAAAACCCCCAAAAAAATCAAAATATCAAGTAAATGTTACAGTTAAAACGTTCCATTGTTTATGTTGTTTTAATCGTCTTTTTGTTTTTCTCTTCAACACGCCAACATATTATCGAGAATTGGATAGGTGGGCTGGGGTGTACATTTGCGCGATCAAAGAAAGGGCTTGTGGTTGAGTATGTTTGTTCACGTATGGGACATTAATGAGCTTTTCCATAATTATTTTCTAAGGGAATTAAAACGACATATGATTCTTTAATAATGTCTAAGCTGTCTTTTTGTTTTTTGTTTTCTTAGCAAATAATTATATTGTCATATTACTTACAATGAATTTCGTATTATTCATTAATTACAAATAAAAAATTACAAAATTTCCTTTTTCTTTTTCCGTTTTATTTACGTTTTACAAATTATGATTTTTTCAGCACCACCTTTAACCAATTGGCTGAAAGATATAAACGTACGCGTAAAAGCTGGCATGAATTATTTAAAAGAAAATAATTACATCAAAGTTGGCGACGCGATAGTGGTAGTTGGACCGTCCCAACAAAATGGTGCAGGATTTACAAATTCTATACGTCTGGTCTATGTTTCACCTGATCTTAATAAATCCATGCCGATTAATCCAACGGAAGCTGAATAATTATGAATAGCAAAAATCGTATTCGAAGATGAGCAACCAAAACAAAATGTTTAATCTATTTTAACCGGTATTACTTTTTCAACCCTGAGGCAAATAAACGCTAGAGAGAATATAAAAGATCAAGAAAAGAAAAAAGAAAAAGAAAAAAGAAAAGAAAATGTACATTGAGAAAGTCCTTTCATTGACACAACCGTGAACGTCCAATGAACAGATGGTTATGTCGTGTTGTACTACCTAGCAATGTCCGTTATCTCGTCACTGATTAGGTTCTACATACGCCTCGCAAAACGAAGGACAAAGTTCATACGAGGTAGATAAAACCGATCGTGTTGGAGGTCGGTTTCTGGTATACGTTCAAAGTGCTATCGGTATCTTTTTGTCGTCGGTCATCAATCGAGACACAAGGTGGATTTTTCACGTCATCACGGATGAACATCAAACTACGTGGAGTAATAGGAGTACAATTACTAGACTTATTTAACGTAATATCTAAGGTGTTTACATACTAAATGAATATATTCTTATTAACACACGTTTATTGACCGATCACGCACGTATTTCGTATATGCAAGCAATTTATGCAATTATTAAAATATATTATTGTACCACTATATTTTTCCATAATGTTTTCTTATATTTCTTGTATTAACAATTTTTGTTCTTTTCAATTTTGTGTATCAGATTTTTTCCCGTACGATAAGCTGGTCAAAAATGCGTTAGTTAGAATATCAACTGAAATAAAAATAATCATTCATTGAACACGAATTTATATCGTTCGTTGCACATGATACATGCATGCATGTATATAGGTATGAAAGTACATATATGTACTCTCTTTTCTAGAATCGATCGATATGATGTCCGTTATTCTAGTGAGATATGTTTATTTAGACATTAGCAGAGAACGATCTCGAGTAGACATTAACATTAACGCATCTTTGTAATTTAATATATCCTCATAGTGAATGCTTGAAGTTTGACGAGAGGTAATTTAGTTTTTCATGAGTCTCGTTCAATTTCGAGATTGTCCAAAGATCGATTCTTTAGGGTGGCTCCTTCTCCATTAAACAAACAAGAAACTTTTTTTCAATCAATACATTTTTTTATTAATTTTCTTGTTATTCTCATAGTTATTATTATGATTATCATTAGGTTGAATTATTGTCGTAACAATATTAAGAAATTTTCAATATTTAACGTGTTATATCGTATTTTTTATTGAACAAATATTTCGTGTCATATCTAAATAAACAATATTAATATTTTTTTATGTTAAACATTCCGACATGTACTTATTGAACAATGCTAATATTATTAACACACTACTAGGTTATATATATATAGAATAAAATTTTATATTTGATATTCATTCTCTTTTGAAAGTAAGAAATCGTATCAACCGTCTAGTACGCGAGACGTAACTTCAGGTTCTCCCATTTAAATTGCATAAAGATGTAAAATCAACGAATGAATTTTTGAATTATGTTAAACTTTAATATCTTTAGTTTCTTCCTCGGAAAAAGATGTAGAAAGAAGAGAGAAAGAGAAGAGCACTTATAGAAGGGTGAAAGTTACTCGTAAACGTGCTCGCGTCTCAACCTGTAAGGACTCTTAAGTAATGCAGTTAAAATTGAAGCGATCTATCGTTAATTCACGTTACGATCCTCTTTTTTTCTCGTTGTTGGAAAATAAAAAATCCTACTCGTTAATTTTTAATTTTTTTGTTTTTTTTTTTAATGTTCGAACTACGTTACGTCGGTGTAATATTAATTATTTATAATATATTAATATAATATATTATTATATTAAATAATTGATGATAAAAGTGTGCGTA